TCAGGTCCAGACATGACTAGGATTGACAGATTGATAGCTCTTTCATGATTTTATGGGTGGTGGTGCATGGCCGTTCTTAGTTGGTGGAGTGATTTGTCTGGTTAATTCCGATAACGAACGAGACCTTAACCTGCTAAATAGCCAGGCCGGCTTTTGCTGGGCGGAGGTTAATGAAGGGGTGGGTTGCTACGTGCATATGGAGTTACTTAAATATGCACAAGGTGGGGATTCTTTGATAGGGTGACTTTGTGCGCCTGCAGCCACGCTTCGCTCTCTTCTTTCACTCACTTAGTCTGCCGGGCGGCTTTTTGTTCTTTTTTGGACAGTATTAAATGTAATTATGCGGAAATGTTACAAATGGAGCTAGCTAACCATCTCTATAGGCTCGAAATTGCCAAGTTTCTTGGTCCGTAAAGCTGGTGCATCACGGAACCACACACGTGTGGTCAATTCGGCTTCAAGCCACGCAAATTCTGGTCCTACGTTGAGAGGATTGAGTCCCTTTATGGGCGATTCACCATCCCCATCATCATCACTGCCATCCTCATCCTCTTCTGCCTTCGACGCTGATCGTGTTTTCGGTTTTGAAGGCCCGGCATCAGGCTGCTTGGCTTTACCTTTCAGGGCAGCTCTCTTCTGTTGCTGAAGTGTAGAGATTGAATCTCCCCAACCAGCTGCAGTGGTTTCATTGACAGCTTCATCCAGGTTTTGCACGCGTGCCTCAAATGCGGCTTCACTTTCACCAGGAAGACGATCATAAGGATTGTCAAACCTATCACGATTAACAGAGTGAGAAGGTCGTCCTGTAACAAACTTTGCCTTATCCTCTTTCTTGAGCGGTTTGTAGTTAGGGGGGACAAAGTCCATACGAGGTCCGGGGGCAACACAGTAGGCAATCATAGTGAAAAAGAATGCCTTACGAGTGGGATTGGGGTTCGGGTGATCCAACTTGGTGAACGAAAATTCATCAACGTCCTCATTATATTCGTATGTATGATTCATAGGTTTGAATAAGTTGAAGGGTTGATTTTGGGCGACACCAGATCCATTCTTAAATGTTCTTCTGAGCTCATAGAACGGTCTGAATCCTGTGCTTCGAACAGGATAACCGTACATATAAACATCCCTTCTTTCCAAACCATAAGATTGACGATGCATCCAATCAAACGGCATGAAGTGAGGGTCTCCAGATGTGTCATCAGAACAATTGACTACTTTACCAGTGAACCCGACGGGCGCGGACCTGTAAGTTCCATATTCATCTTGAAAACTGCGGACGACTCCTTTGTTTCGAAATGTTTCCCTCTGGGGATCAACGGCATTGGCGTCCACGTGATAAAATAAAAATCGGATCATCCATTGACTTTGCGGACTGATCCGGAAAACAAATCTGGTACAAACACCTACCACCTTTGCACGAGTGGAATGACGATGTTTGCGGATGTTCCTATTGGTCGAATAAGGTATATGATTCAACTGCACCGTATAATGCTGCGCATAAGCTGCGGTAGCGCAAGTGTCTACCATGCGATTGCGAGTATCAAATCTCAAGGGGACCTTAGTAATTGACTCATCCGCAGCTCGCTCGACAACGGTATACGTAAGTTCCTCAATACGTGAACCAATTCGGCGTGTTGCCTTTGAATATCGGGATCGTACACGGCGTGAATAACGCGATTTGGCGCGGACAGTTCGGGAGCCCAACTTCCGTCCGCTCCGACGGCGCCGTCCTCGTGAAACATGAGCTGTCTTGCGACGGCGAAACGTACGACGTTTGTGGAATTTATTGTTACGACGAACCACGCCATAACTGCGACGTGGCATATAAGCATAAAACAAGAAGGGAAATGAAACTACTTACACAACTCAGGCTATTTATAGTTTTTCACACATTTCAAACTCCGAATGACGACTTTATTTTTTTTTAACACAGATCCAAAATAATTACTAATGCTACTATAGTAATTAATTAGATCTGGACTGACCCCGCCCCGCAGCGAACCCATCCCGATACGCCTGGGCAGCGTGCTCCTCTATGGCCTTCTCCAGGTTAGCCATATCATCACCTGCTAGCAGGAACACTAGGTCCTGCCGCAAACCTTCCATTCTCAACTTCATCTTGTCGAGCGAAAGGCGGATTTCGGAGCGCGGTACAAACGGGGCTGGAGGGGTTCCCCCGCTGCCGCCAGCGCGTGGTCTACGACCTCCTGCAGGGCCACGTACCGAATTACCGGGCACCCGGGATGACTGCCGACGACGGCGAGTTCTTCGTAGTCCGGGCCGATGGACATCAAGTACCGCTGGTTCTCCGGCACCCGGAGCGGGAACTCGTCCTGCGGACTCATCCATCGCTGGGCCCGGGGGAGGAGATAGGGCGGCGGGGTCGTCGGAGGGGTCGTCGGGCCAGGGGCCGAAGTCTGGCCAGGGGCCTGGGGAGACGCATCTCCAAAGGTCCTCTTCCGACTGGGAGAGGGCGGGGGCGCCGAGGGGACCGGGAAGAGAGGGACTACCGGCCTTAACCTCGCTGTCTGACGCCGAGGCGACGCAGCGAGGCGGGCTTTCGCCAGCCTCTTCCGATGGGCCTCCAGGGCCCTCCTCTCCGTCAGCGAATGGTCCTTCCCCGCCTTGTATAACCGTTTGGGGGGCGGGGGTACGGGACTCTGTGAATGTCACAGGGCCGGGAGTACGGAAAAGCGCATCGATTTCCTTTAAATAAGTAAGACTATTGAAAAAATAAAAATAAAAGACTTACCTTGCGCCCAGGGGGGCATGGGGACTGGGGTGGGAGGTCGTGGGACCCCACGTCGTCGAGGGCCCGCCTGACCCCTGTAAGGAGGTGGCGGAACCCATCCTCCGACACCTCATACCGCTCCACGAAGCGGAGCATCATTTTGAAGAAATGATGGTCGACGGTGGGGGGATGCTTGTCCCAGTGACTCACCCCATGACTGGGGTGGTTGCACAACGGGGGGACTGGGTTGGGAGCCTCCGCAAGGCTGTACGGCGTGGTGGGCCGGGTAGGGGCCTCCTCGAGATCGAGGAAGGGGTTGGGAGACTGGCAACGGGGAGAGGGGCACTGTTTCGATTGAGAGGCGGACATGATGATTCATTGAAGAAAACTTCATCTTACTAACCGGTATTTATAGATGTTAACAGCAGATGGGAAAAAAATCTATTCTTAGAAGTATGCTGACTGATGCGCAGCAGCATGACAAATAGATTAATCATCTGATTTAGAAGGCTGTGAAGCGTGAGAGCTAGCAACCAGGGTCTGTGTCCTATTATAGAACAAACGCTTTTTTTAGCTGCGCAGCTAAGCTTTAACGGGTTAAATGATCCAGGGTGCTTAACGACAGTTCTCACGTCAAGCTGACTGATCGAACCTAATTACAAATGATCCCGGTTGCCTGGGTAGAGGTCTATTTATGGGTGGGTAGACCTTTAACTATGGTAGGGGCACCGTGAGAGCGCACCCAACTTTCCCAATATAGGTAGATTAAGCCTAATCAAAGAATCTGATTGGACAACAACCGTGTGAACTGGGTATTCCTTGTCCATATCAGGTAAGTGGGTAGAGGGTAGAGACCGTCCCCACCAATGTTAAGTTATGTGGGGACGGTCTGCGTCACGCACGTGACATCACTACCCTCTAAGGGGTATATAAGCACGTGATGGGTCTCCTTCCTACTCTCACTACACCTGCCACGATGGCGAGTTTCGTTTGGTCTCTTCCTTCCACACTATCCACCTTAACGCCTTCACCTGCTCCTCAATCAGTACGCGCCCCTTCTGTTCCTGCCACCCCCTCTGCTAGGGGTAATGGAGAAATCGCCGACGACCGAATCAGTAACTGGTCGTTGTCACCGGCACCAAATCGCCGACTTCAACGTCGAATTCAGCCTTCACCTGCGCCCTCTGTCGCATCGGCGCACTCAGAGGCTTCTAATGCACGTCGTGCTCGACGTGGAGAGAGGCGTGAAGGAGGTAACCCCAACTTCCGTTGGTCAGCAAGAAACATGCTGCTGACATATTCCCAAGTGAGTCATCCATTACATAAGATAAGCGAATTAAACTTAAACAAGACATTACCGGCCCTTCCGGATAGATCGGAGATAGGCCCAACCAGGCCCTTTCTGATGCGATCGCCCGATTATCGCCGCAACCGGCGGAATGGGCTGCTGTTAGAGAGCACCACCAGGACGGGGGATCCCATTGGCATGTCATCGTCAAATTCGATGTGCCAATCAGATCAAGAAACCCCGCCTTCTTCGATGTGGATGGCATACATCCAAACGTTAAAATGTACGTACCCTAACCTTAACCTTAACCTAACCTTGCTAACCTTAACCCTTAACCTTAACCGTAACCCTAACTTGTTAACCGGGTTTTTCGCCTGTTTTTCGCACCGCCTTCGGCGGCACGTGAATAATATCCCCAACACTTATCCTTAACCAGGTGAGCATTTACGTTGGGGAGTTAGGTGTGGCTCCGCCACACCTAACGTCCCATCATCCTATCATTCACACTGGCACTTAGGTCCCGCTTCGCGGTACCTAAGTGCTGGTCCGAGTTTCATGACGCTAACCTAACTTCTTTCTCAGGCTGGCTTCTGCAAAGTCCGTACGCGACGCCTGGACCTACCTCCAGAAAGAAGAAGGGGCGGACCACTTCGGACCCTGGCAGGGTCCAGAGGCTGTCCTCGATGCAGAGGGAGGAATGGGAAAAGCTAAGAAGGACGAAAAGTGGGGTCATATCATCGCCTCGTCGTCTAGGGACGAGTACGAGGAGCGGGTCCAAACATTCGGGCCATATGATTGGGTCGTTAACCACGACAAAATCATAAACTATGCCGACAAGCACTGGCCCGTCGAGCCGGAGCAGTACGTATCGGAATTTACCGAATTCCCACACCTGACGGAGGAAATGAGGGATTGGGTAACTAACGAGATGCCTAAAAGGGATAGGCCTAAATCGTTAGTGGTTTGGGGCCCGACGAGGACGGGTAAAACGGAATGGGCTAGATCTTTAGGTGAGTCTTCGAAGACATGTTTTAAGTGCGATCATACTTACCTTGGAATTCACAGGTCGTCATACCTACATGAACGGTTTGTTCAATGCAGACGACATTGACGAGGCATCTGACTATATCGTTCTGGACGACATCAGCCTAGAGCACTTCCCAAACTACAAGTCTTGGTTTGGGGCTCAAAAGCAATTTGTCGTCACCGACAAGTACAAGTCGAAGCGAACCGTCAAATGGGGTAAGCCATGCATTTGGCTATCAAACGAAAACCCATTAGACATAAGGGCAAGGGGCATCAACACCGAATGGATCGCAGGTAACACCATCGTTGTCAACCTTGACCACCGCCTTTACGATGTACCTGACGAACCAGCTCCGCAACCAGTTCGTGTAGAATGGCAAGGAAATGGCGTGGAACGCATAGCCCAGCCTGTTCCACAAAGGCCTATTCCAGAAAGAGAAGATGTAGTGTACTTAGAGGACCTTTATGGTTCAAACCCTGTATGGAGATAGTTTACGCTTCGCTTCTTTTCTCTTTAACCCCCCTTAATCCCCCAAGGGGGAAACTACTTGAGATATTGATTAATTACGAGTGAGCTTGAGTTATGTGAATCAGAACTTGTGGTTGTTGTTTCTAATCAGAAGGTGGTATCCACCATTTAGCCCCACCTCCAACCTTATCTCAAACGATCAGATACCGTTGTAGTCTTAACAGTAAACTATGCCGACTAGGGATCGGACAACCTCTTTTTGATGTGTTGTTCGGCACCTTACGAGAAATCAAAGTCTTTGGGTTCTGGGGGGAGTATGGTCGCAAGGCTGAAACTTATCGTAATTGACGGAAGGGCACCACCAGGAGTGGAGCCTGCGGCTTAATTTGACTCAACACGGGGAAACTCACCAGGTCCAGACAGCACTACCGACGCAAAGAAGGATGGGAAGAAGAAGGACGGAAAGGACGGGGGTGCTGCGTCTGCTAAGGCCAGTGGGAGCAAGGAGAAGGGGAAAAAGAAAGTGGACTAGTCCTACTGTGACTCCATCCTCTCTTCCTTTGCCGCCCTATTGTATGTACTTGTAGCATCTTCAATATGAGGGATTGTATAACAAATGCACTTTATGACGCTTACCTGTACGTCCCCCCGGCCTTTTGGTCTTGAGTCTGATAACACATATACGGTAACGGCGATTATGGCTTGGACACCTCGAAATCATTACCTACTTGTCATGCCTGATCATCTGCAAAATGTAGGCCCAGCCTCCGGGTGACCCCCTATATTGTACAAGGGAGTACTGCAGGATACGGTATGCCGACTAGGGTTGTCGGTGGAACTGAGGTTGAAGACCAGACGGCAGAATGGTACGATCCGGTCTTATGTCTGGGACTGGAACACGGCTACTCCCCACCTTCTGGTTGAATGCGTCTTGGGGAAACCGGCTAATCATGAAACTTGACCTCATGTCAGCCCCCTCAAACGAAGTTTTGGTGGCAAATGACACCGTGGTTGGGGATGTTGAACGTGCCGAGAATAACAAGGCGTACAGGAGATACGCCCATAACCACCCAACTAAGGAGTTAGCTACTCCGACTGATCTTGGCGCTTGTGCTCAATTCATCATCTTCAATACAAAGAGCATGAGCGTCCGTAAGACATGGCATGAACTGCGCACCACTCTTGGTGATGAGTTTTGTGCGGCCGTGGCTAAGATCAAACATGTTACCCACTTGAACTGCCACCCTAGAATGGATATGTGGTTGCGCGGGGATATTGGTGGTACCTTTGCGCGTTTATTACGCGCGAGGACTAAGTACCGAACACATGGCTTTAGGGAACAGCTCATTGAAACCTTGACCAAAACAAATCCGGACATGGCTCCGAAGGCGATCGGTCTCCGAGTGATGTCATCATGGCGGATCGCCGTGTGGCAACCTTGGCAGGATTGGGAGCCACCCGAAAAGGCACCTAAAGTCAGCCCTCGACCTGTAAACTCTGGTATCTTGACCCTTAACATCAATGGATTCCAGAAAAAGAAGGAGCTTGTGCAGGATGTTTTACAGACGAACCGAATTGCAGTATGTGCACTACAAGAAACCCTAGTAGCACCCACACACTTTCCCCTCCGAATAGATGGGTACAACTCGTTCGTTAGTCCATGGGTAGAGGGATTTCGGGGTCAGGCGCTCTTAATTGATTTGTCTCTCCCTGCCTATGAAATCCCCCGTGCAAAACCTGATACCCCCTCTGGGGGCCGTTATGTTATCCACGTCAAGGTTAGTGGCCTCAGAGATATCAAGCGACCGGTACACTTCCTGGCCGCTTACCTCCCATCAGGAGGGAACTTTAGGCTGGAGCGGAAATTTGCCCTTCAGTCAATAGTTGACAGATTTGACCACATCCTAGAAAAAGATCCGGGTGCGCTTGTGGTTTGCTTGGGAGATCTAAATATCGACCATGAAACACTTGACCGCCGGTTGAAACGTAAGACGAACAACGTGATTAGGCTCCCCCCCGTGGGGTCGCCGCTGTCTCGCTTCCCAATTTGGGGAACCGCTAAGGCTATAGATCACATCTTGGCTAGCCCTCAGGCTTATAACCTCTTACGGAAACCACGCGTCATCCGATCTGACTGTATCAGTGATCACCGTCCGTTGATATCCCATATTAGAAGCAGTAAATATGAGCACAGGATATTGCCCGCCAAAGTATGGCGGACGGATGCAAAAATGATTCGCAGATTCAGCGAGCAGATTGCCAATGATAATTGTTGGGGAGTCTTCCAGGACATGGAGATTACAGAGTACGCAGAACTCTCGGAGGCTGCTGTGCTTTTCTCAAAAGTGACACACCAAGTTACGACTCACTTTGGTGTGAAAACTCAGTCCGGATACCAAAAGACCAAACTGCCTCGGAAACTTAAGAACCTCCAAAAGAAATGTGCACGTTATGGCAAGGAAGTAGCGAAAGAGCAGGAGGAAGTCCTCTCCGCCTCACCTCGAATTGGGGTGAGCGAGCTGCTTATAACGAAGCACAAGCGTGCGAAAACTCAGCTTAACAAAGCCAAGAAGGAGTGGCAGCGCCGAGAGAAGGAGAAACTGTATAGCCAAATATCAGATGACTACGTTGCGCACGATCATAAGAACGTGTGGAGCCGTCTGAGAGCCCAAGTCGACACCAAGCTTCGAGGTAACAACCTCCAACCAGTCCATAATAAGGCTGGGGAACTCAAGGTGGACATGGAAGGGATTTTTGATGCTATCGCGGAACATTATCGGGCCTTGGCCCACGATGACCCCAATGGGATCTCGCAGAACCCGGAACACTGGGATGTATGGCACAAGTGAAAAAAGAAAAACCCAAATTTGTCAGACTGGACAATGTCCGGATAGACCAGGGTAAACACAAACTCCCTGAGAACCCGCTAACCCCAATGGGTAAAGCCCTATGGAAAATACTAGTAGAAATCTGAGAACTAAAAGTGGTCCCAGTGTTAGTTTTGGTGATTCTGCACCTAGTTGTGCTATCTATTTCCCCTTCTTTCTAAATCACTTTCCTCTTTATTATTTTTGCTGTATTGTTCAGTATTCACTGAGCATTCTATAATTTCGCCTTTGTGGCTGATTTGTTTACCTTTGTTTACAAAACTTCGGACTAGTATTGCAGAGTCCAGTATTCCTATTCTTTAGTTACTCATACTCTAGGTACTGTATAATAAAACTAAGTGAAACTCAGCCGCTGCCCGAGAGGCTATAGAAACGACTTTATTATTTACCTAAGTGAAACTACAATAGATCTTAGTTTAAGGTGATCTCTAATAAATGTAATGTAACATACCTCAGCCGCTGCCCAAGAGGCTATAGAAACGACTGAGGTATTCCTATACTAAACCCCCTACTACTTATAGTCGGAGGTGCTACTCACTACAGTATAATGACTCCTAGGAGAACAATGGCTGCTTTGGCAGAGACTGGGTTTATCCGGTTTTGTCACTGTACACATTCTGTACTCTCTGATAATATAGTTACTCATACTGGACTCTAGTTCTGTCCCTGTTAGCTCTCAGCAAGTGGCTAGACACTTCGCAGAAGTTCTCAATTGAACATCTGGAACTCTGGGATGAGGTGTATATATGCAACTTGTTCAAGAGTGGTGACCCAGAATTACTGGTGAACTACAGAGGCATCAGTCTAGTCTCAACATCATTCAAGATCCTGCTGAGCATAATGACTGAAAGAATATCAGGCACTCTGGAAGACAAGGATATGATTGTAAAAGAGCAATCAGGCATTAGAAAAGGCCAAGAAGCCATAGCACAATTCATAGGTGTAGCTGAAATAGTACGGAGGAGAGAAATAATGGGGGACAAAACCATAGGAATCTTTGTTGACTTCAAAAAGGCGTATGATGAGGTGCACCATGAGGCACTTGACAAAATAATACATGATATGGGAGTGAAAGGAAAATGCCTGAAACTCATAAAGTACATTTATAGAAACACCAAAATGACGGTGTGGGTGGGAAATTGGTATAAAAAACCCTTCAAAATGAAGAGAGGCACCCAACAAGGATGCCCACTGTCTCCACTGCTTTTCATCTTGTTTATGAACCACTGCATAGAGGATCTGAACTTTAAAGGAATACAGGTCCCAACTAATGGAACCACAATGAAAGGCAACTGGATGGAAGGAAACGAAAAAAAGGGCAATCTGCAAAGGCGGGATGTATGCAGATGACCTCGTCCTATGCTGACAATGCAAAAGAGGCGAAAAAAGTGTGCAAAGAAATATACAAATGGGGACAAACCTGGGGAATGGACCTAGGAATAGAGAAATGTGGTGTAATCTACTTCACAAATGATGTAGATGAGCTGGCAGCACATTACTCTACAGAGTATAAAACCCCAGAAGGAAGCCTACCAAAGGTTGAGTCATATAAATACCTAGGGATTCATGTGGACCACACTCTTGTACAGCGCAGAATATATAGGGTATAAAAAGGTACACGCAACGCCCATACAAATGGTTCTAAATAAGGCAGCACAATGGATAATGGTGTTACAATCTCTATTGGACATTTAAGGGCTGCTCATTTTTTTTACTCATCGGTTATACCATCGGACCAATGACTCATTTCCTTCACATACACTTCCGTTCCTCTCGCATTTGCAGTACCTATTATAGTACTTAGTCCTCAACGGATGGACCTGCCCTAGATAGGACCTAACTCCTATCACCAATTCCTTTCCATTATAAATACCATGTAACAGCAGTAGTATTCTCTAATACAATTCTACGCGGTTTACGCTTACAAAGCTAGACTCCTAAGATCTGACTTCTACTCAGAAGAAGACCAACTCCCGTTGCAAAACCTCCACTCAGAACTACGTTCTCGAACTTGTCTTCGGATAAGTCTCTTTACAAACCTCAACGAACCCTCAGACTTTGTTAAACACTTCGTGTGTAACAAAAGAATTGTATTCTAACCAGAAGTCCCACCTATTTAGGTTTGGGAAGAAAAAGTCGACAAGACGTTGCAACGACCAACAACTAGATCCCAGAGAGCAAGAGGAAGCTCAGACAACCCACAAACAGCAACCCCACCGACATCATCCTAACAAGACAGGATAGCAGCACTACCTCCCTTTCCCCAACCAGACATAACCCAACTCCACACCAAAGAACAAGCAGACGGTTTCTACGAAGCCAGAACACATTGGCTACAATACTACGCAGGAAGCCACCCACAGCTACTGCCCACAACACAACATGATCCCCCAGTAACTGTAGAAAACCTCTATGACAAGAACAACTTTGAAGAGTTTGCAGCAAGCGGCAACCCGATACCACCTCCCACTCCACAGATACTCCCCGCTGCACCTGCTCCATCCCATATCCCACCACCACGCACCATGTCTAACGCTGCAGCCCCCAAACCCACATTAATTGGGAAAATTGATGACTTTGATGGAACCCCAGATAAAGCCCAAAGGTGGATATCATCCACCGATCTACACTTTGATATCAACAACACCATCTACAACTCTGACAAGAAAAAGGTATATGTGGCCCTCAGCTACATGAAGGATGGCAATGCCGCCTCATGGAGCAAAGCCAAAATGACCGAATACAAAGAGAAGAACGCCTACCCCACATGGGCAGACTTCATGAAAGCCTTCACAACCAGTTTCAGAACGTCAAACATCAAAGAAACGGCCTCAGCCACCTTGATGAAAATGAAAATGGAGCAAGGAGAAAATGCAGTAGTATTTAACTCAAGGTTCATGCTAGATGCTGGGAAGAGCGGCATCAACAACGAAGCCATGATCATGGTTTATCAAAAGGCTATCCGGCCACCCCTCCTTCGCGGGGCACTCACCGGAAAGGAACTACTCACCATCGAAGACTGGATGAGCACAGTGGCGAACCTAGACTCCAACTGGATCAGTGCCAACGCTATCTCGGAAGGAGCGTGGGGCGCCAGAAACAAAGAAAGACAGAACGACAGAAACCGCAAAAGTGGACCATCCACCAGCACCAGAAGATTAACCAAAGATGAAGAAGAATCAAGGAGGAAAGAGGGAAGATGCTTCATATGTAACAAGAAAGGACACATAGGGAGGAATTGTAGGAACAGAAGAAAAACTCCCGAAAGAAAGGTACGTCAAACCGAAACGTAAGATCACACCAAAACAGTGGTGGAAGAAGACAGGGTCCAAAACATCATGAGGATGTGGAGGGAGTTAGGAGAAGATCAAAGAACAGAGGCGATGAAAGAATTAGAAGACGAGGGTTTTTGAAACAACAGACTTCCCCGATGTTAGTACCGTCCAAAATGGCAACTGTAACAATAGCGACAATCAATGCCAACTCTTTATGAATCAATTGATAGATTCAGGAGTTACAGACGACTTCATGGACACAAAATTCGCCATCAGACACCGACTCCCCCTCCAAAAACTCCCAACTCCTATAACATGTAAAAATGTTGATGGAACCACAAACAAAAATGGAAAAATTACACATTGCACCTATCAGAGGATAGATGCAGGAGGACAAAACAGGTTCACAAATTTCCTATTGACCGGACTAGACGGAGAGGAAGTATTACTGGGATTTCCCTGGTTACGAAAAGTCAATCCTGTCATTAACTGGAAAGACAAAAAATTACCAACCTCAGACAAACACTCCATCAGGATGAACCAAACAACCACGGAAACAAAAATCAGGACAATCGCAGTAAACGAAGACATGTACGAAACTATTCATAGATAAATATCCAACCAAACACCCTATCCTCGAACCACAATTCGATTAGAGGTCGACTTGGCAATGGAACACGTGCAAATACACGGAGAAAAGAAGGAGCATAACCTCCCGGATGAATATAAAGGGTATTCGGACGTCTTTGACAAAAAGAAGTTGGAAAGACTCCCCAAGCGACGGGAATATGATCATGCAATCAACATGAAACCAGAATTTGTACCAACAGATTGCAAGTTGTACCCATTGGCACCAAAGGAAGACGAAACATTAACGGAATTCTTAACGGAAAACTACAGAAAGGGATACATCAGGCCGAGCAAGTCGCCACAGGTGTCCCCCTTCTTCTTCATCGGCAAAAAGGATGGATCACTCCGACCGTGCCAAGATTACAGAAAACTGAATGCATATACCGTGAAAGACCCCTATCCACTACCCCTGATACCCAACCTCATCGAAAAATTGAAAGGAGCCACCATCTTTACAAAACTAGATCTACATTGGGGATACAACAACATAAGGATAAAAGAAGGAGACAAATGGAAAGCTGCGTTTAAAACCAGCAAGGGAGTGTTTGAACCAACGGTCATGTTCTTCAGCATGTGCAATTCACCGGCAACATTCCAAAGGCTGATGAACAACAAATTCAAAGACTACATCGATGAAGGTTGGATGATCATATACATGGATGACATCCTCATCTTTGACACCAACATCGAAAGACTCCAAATCCGAACAAAACAGGTTCTACAAAGTCTACGCAATAACAACCTATTCCTAAAACTAGAAAAATGCACCTTCAAAGCGGAAACCATTGAATACTTAGGAATGATTGTTTCCCACAATCAGGTATCAATGGATCCAGCCAAACTCGCTGGGATCTGCGATTGGCCAATCCCGAAAGACACCAAAGGTGTAAGAAAGTTTTTAGGTTATGGAAACTTCTACAGGAAGTTTATCGGTCATTACTCTGACCTTGCCAGACCCTTGAATGCCTTACTAGAAAAGGATAGGAAGTGGAACTGGACCCAAACTGAAGACAACACTTTCAAATTAATGAAACAAAAATTCCTTGAATCCCCCGT